CTGCCCTGGTACAATACGAATAAGTAACCATTGATTCTCGTCGTGGCGTACACGAACTGACCCCTGGTAAGCAAGAAAATAGATAGATAACCACCACAACGCCCGTCGTCCACGTACTGAGCGAACAGGAACAAATGTTCAGGCTCTCTTGCCCAAATAGCCACAGCCACAGACTGCCACTGCGAGGGCCACAAAACAACCGCGCCCCGGCCCTCAAGGTAAAGAGGCTTGGTCAACAAGAATCCAATCTGATGGCAGCGGCGCGGACAATTTAAGATTATTTATTCTGATCTATGCAGATAGAGAGAGTCAAAATATATATATATACAGATTACAAGATATATCAGACATTTACAACCCATGGTATCCCCATATGTACGCCCCTTTCCTTTTGTGTCTCCATATATTATCATCCCGCCACACTCCCTTCTTCTCACTCTCTACTGCCCATCTGTCCAAGTCTTCCCGCTCTGAAACTCCACCACGCTGGGCCACGAATTTCTATCGCCGAGGACATCCCCACCATATTTCAGGTAGCCCTGCACATCGGGGTCCTGGACGTCCCTTAGCACCTCGGACCGGTTACCATGGACCCAGACAGTCTGCATGCCCATCACCATGTGCGGCAGGATGTGGCAGTGCAACATCCACACGCCGGGCTGTGTGACGCGCAGTCGCCACGCGCGCCACCCTGCCGGAGAGTCTTTCGGCGCTCGGTTGCTGTACCGGCGGACCATACTGGTGTCGCGGCGGATAGGCGAGGCGCCGCGGGCCGCCGCCGCAGCCCACTTGGCCTCGTTAGCCGCTTGGTCGTACGCGCCGTCCCCCATGCCGAGGTCCCAAAAGTGCTCACCATGGGCGTGGTACGGGTGGCTGTCCACGGTGTTGTTATCCGAGCCCGTGTTCTGGATGATGATCTCGAGGACCTCCCCGATCTGCGCCGGGAAAGTGCGCGTCACGGGGTCGATGCCACCGTTCGCCAGGGCGCGCTCCATGGAAGGGAAGTTCGACACGTCCCCGTTGTACAGGGAGACGAGGTAGGGTTCCTTTGGGAAGGTTTCTTGCCAGGGAAACGAGTTCTGGACCCAGGTGACGACGCCGTCATACCTCTGATGGATAACCATCGTGATGGTGCGGGTCACTTCGGACGCGCAAGGCATCCGCAGATGCTCGTGATCGGGATGAGGGGCGAGATCGTAGTCGAGGAACGCCACCTCGGTGTCGGGCAGTGTGATGGGCGGGGAAGGAGGAGGGTAGAAAATCGTCGGCGGCGAGGGGACGCCGTAATTGAGGACGGCAAAGGAGCGCGTGAGGGTCGGTCTGTCGCGAGACTCGATTTGCATGTAGTAGGCGCTCTTCTCGGGGGCCGATTTCGTGGTCAGGAGTACGCTGTAGCGCTGGCCGCTGCCGAGTTGGAGAAAAGAAGTGTTGTATGGTTGTGTATAGGCACTGTTTTGTTGTTCCTTTCGTGAGTCTAAAGAAGAAACAGTCTGGGGTTTGAAAGGGATAAAGTACGTACCCGTCAACCTCAATGATCGTCAAGTCGTGGCCCTCGATCGCAAGGGAGGCGAAGGTCAGAGCCGTGCCTCCGATGAAGCGCAACCTGTATGTCTTCCCGGGCTGCACATCCAACGACGCCAACGTGCCATTGCACACCTTGCCGTTCGCCGTCCCTGCTCCCTTCCCATTCACCAGAATCATTTCCGATTCGCCGCTCCAAACGAGCGGGTTGGCCAGCAAGCCTTTCTCCAGTGTAAGGTCGTCCTTCGCGAAGACATCTTGCAGCAAGATGATGCGCTCCTCGTCGTAGTAGTACGGCACCTCGAGCTTGTCTTCTACAATGAGAGGGCCTGTTGCGGAGATGGCCTGCATTCCGACGTGGCTGTGATAGAAGTACGTCCCGGCCGAGTGCGTCGGGATCCCAAGCTCGTAGTCGAAGAACTTCTGGGGTGGGATGGGCCATTGCGACGCGAGGGGGGTGCCGTCGCTGAATGGAGAGGTTGTCATCGCGAGGCCATGCCAATGCTGTTTGTTACTGACATTAGCCGAGAGACCGGAAACACCATCGACCTGGAAGTCGATGCATGTCTGAAGAATGTATTTGTGCATACCATGGTCAAGTTTTGATTATGCATATCATTATACACTCTGATCCAGTACACCTCGCCTGCCCTGAGCGTCAGAGCAGGTCCAGGAGAAGTGCCGTTGACAAGTACGATGGGCTTTGCGGCCAAGCATGCCTGGGTCGTGTCCGCCTCGGTGACGCGTAGAATGGCATCGGGGATGAAGGTTTCGTCGTGGACGACCGTTTTAGCAGATGCGATGCTGAAAAACGACACCAGAAGAGCGAAAAGAGCGAATAGTGGGTGATGTTGGAACAGCATCTTGCAGCTGGAGCCGTTCGGCACGCACAGTAATAGTGATCTACTTTACGTCAATCATCATGTCCGTCCAGAGACAAATAGCCCATATCGTAGTCACCAGAAGAAAAACATGGAAGAGGCCCAAGCAGCTGAAGCGTTCGTTCCATGATCTCCCTGTCGACCATTTCCAACAGCAAGGAACAGCAGCCCTCGCTACTTTGCAAAGGAACAACAACAATCAAAACAGAAGGAGGATCGACTTACTACAGTCACCCGCCCCAATTCCTCAAATTAGCACCCCGAACAAGCTGAAGGGGACGAAGTCGGAGTCGGAAGAAGAGGAACGGGAAGGAATAATAGCAGGAATGTGAACCTGGCGATGCCACTTTCCGGGCGTGGCTCCAGTCTTAAATGATGATCAGCCAGCCGGCCGGCGGTCCTCGTGTGGCCGGCATACCAGTCAGTGCCCATGTTGAACGTCATCCCAAATTTAGGTGTAGAGTCAAATGGAGATAATCAACTGTCCAGATCATTGCGATCCTGGTTTTTCCGTTATACTTCCCAAGCTCCCAGGCATAATAGTAGTAATTACCCCCTGAGGGTAGGGAGGGACCCAGGGGGTTTAGAGTGGAGCTTTGAACTTTCGAGCCACCTTCAGGCTTGGCTGAACTCTGTTAAAAAAGGCCAACATGTAGGGCAGAGAGAAGCTCAACCGAGTAGTAGGTAAAGAGTAAGAGGTGCTACTCTAAGTTGCATCTTGGTCGGTCCAGGTCCAGGTCCAGGTCCAGACCCGAGCTCCAAAGCCATATACGAGAATTTCCAGGTCCTTACTATTGTAAGATGAAGATCCAAATAGACACGAAACGGCAGGGAAGAAATAGGGGGCCAGCCGGGCCAGGTCAAGAGAGTTGAGAAGAGATGACTTGAGTTGAGTTGAGTTGAGTTGAGTTGAGTTGAGTTTGATTAGGTGAAGTCGTCCGTAAGTTAAGTTCCTACGGAGCAAGTAGGAATGGCCGGAAGAAATAGAGCTCCGTATGTTTCCTCGATGACTAAGGTGCGCTAGATGAGACGAATAGTTCACGTGCCTTGCTTGTAGCGAGCGGCGACGGTCCTTGCCGGTTCGAAAGAGAAGAAAGAGAAGAAAGAGAGGAAAAGGGACAGAAAAGAAGAAGCGGAAAGCGGCAAGAGAAGACCCCGAATCGCCTGATGAAGGACGTGCAAAGGTCTTGGAATGAACGCCGCCTATACCGTAGAAAACAGGAGCTGGTACTCGACTATCCCCCCTACATAAAAGACGGACCCAGTTTTGGCCCATACGTAGTAAATCGCATAGCGGTACAGTAGGTGTAGTGCAGTAGTAGCTTTTACTAGTAAATGGCTCATAGGAGCCCTGTCAACTCTATTGCACAGACGACGTCGGAGTTAGCTGTACTGTACTTGCTTCAAGATACTTTTCAAGGCTGAATCGCTCTAAGTTGATTGGTTCAAGCCCGGGTTCAAGCCCTTGCATAATTGTACTTTCGTCTTTCGAACACGGAGGATAGTACGGAGTTGGGTAGGTCCCGTATCCGTCGAAGCTTGACAAAATGGCGGGTGGTGCTGTTGACTCCACAAGATCCACGCACTGCTGGTATGTGACTTCTACTACTACTGCTGCTACTACAACTACTACTACGACTACTGTACTGCTACTACTACTGCTGCTACTACTACAACTACTACTACTGTACTGCTACTACTACTGTACTGCTACTACTACTGTACTGCTACTCCTACTGCTGCTACTACTATTACTACTACTACTACTACCACTACTACTACTACTACTACTACTACTACTATATAGTAATTGGTAAAGATATATAGTAATTGGTAAAGATATATTAATTATGGCTCCAGCAAACGGACTACTAGCTCTCTGCGCAGTCAACGCACCGATCGATCTATAAACAGAGATTAGACATTCCAAGTCTCTAGGTTCTAGTAGTAATAGTAGTACTAGTACCGGTAGTACTAGTAGTACTAATAGTACTACGTACTTACAGTAGAGTCGCGAGTGATTGTGATTGCGATTGGGGGATCGGCTAATCGTACCGAGTGATCCCAAATATAAAGTCGGCGCCACAGCCAAGATCTGGGTCCGGAAGGTGGACGGTTTCAGATAGCATACAGTAGTAGGGACCACTACTGACCTTCCAACTTTTGTCTAGTCCTAAAGGCAGTGTTATCTCTGTGGGAAAGGTAGTTTAGGGGTAGATGCGGACTTGGTTCTTGGCCTGGCCCCTGACCTGCTGTCAAATTACCGGTAGTAGAATATCCTCAACTTGGTCGATTGCCTCCGCTATACCGCTATACCGCTATACCGCTACTTACAGTATCGTGCGGCCAGCATATCTGTCCCCATGCCAACAACGGTTGATCTAGGTGAACTGGGGAAGGCGATTAGGTACCGTGCAACGCCCTGCATGGTTGGGCGACTCCTAAATTTAGTAAATTGGACTTTACTCTGTACTTGTAGTAGTAATTTTGGGATGATTTTCGACATGGGGACAGAAGAAGTAGGTAGTAGGTAGTACCTAGGTACTACGTACCTATGCTGGCCGCATGGGTCTCGGTGTGCATGCGTGCCATGATCCGTCCCCAGCAGCATAATCTACGGAGTTCGTACGGTAGTAACTTCAGAGGATTAATACTACTATTACTCGCAAGGTGATACCTACCAGTACTGTAGAATCACGTGTTCAAGGCCTCGCTTAATACGGTAGTACGGCCAGGGCCACCACCAACCTAACCTCCGCTGGAACGCGCATCCCGCGTCAAACAATAGTAGTCGCAGTAAGTAACCGCGCTCAAAACTCAATACAATCGCGAATAGCTTAATACTTTTCCCACTGTAGGAGGGTCTCTGAGTTTCTACTCATTACGTCATGCTATCCAGGTCATGATGTAATAGAGATCGTGGTGGTGGTGGACATGGGAATTCTGACTCCATAGCCCGATCGATGCCTGTACTTTATTACTAAGCATTTTCCCGGAGTTCAAATGAAGTTCCCGTGATAACGAATTTTTACTAGCGACGAAACTGGCAAGCGAGCGTAGTACCGTATATGATTGCCAGGGCACAAAAGTGTGATGGCGATACCGTTGGATTTTTGATCTTGATCTTGATCTTGATTTGGATTTTTTTCCACTCGGTTTTTCCAGAAGTCTAAACCATGAGAGCAGTGGAGTCGTCTTGGGGGCAATTCCTCCACTGATTGTCCAGAGTCAGATCTCATCTCTCCTGTTGATTGCGTTCCCCGGTCTAACCGACCTTCTTTTTCCGTGGCGCAGACTTCTGGAAAAACACTCGCGAGTATACTACTACGTACTACGTGCGTATTCGCTTGGCTGGAGAAAACTCAGTACGATAACTCTATTTGCGCGATTTAACAGAGTTACCGAATTGCGGAGGTAACTCAATTGCTACGTAGTACGTACCATTACGCAGGTTTGCGTCAACTCAGCTTCGGAATCCCTCCCCTCTACCTATGTAGTACCTGCAGACCTGTACGTATCAATGGTGGCTCCACCATAAGGACTGCGTAGGTACAGCTTCGAGATCAATTGGTCTTCTGCGCAGTCAACGAACGCACTGATCAGTTGATAAGCAGAGATCAGACGTTATTAGCAGCTCTACGCGCCATTTTGTCATGTCCATTTTGCCATGTCTCTACGGCTACTACGTAATATATTCAGTCGGCTTCTCCGATTTTTATATCGACCGTGCTCAGAGTTGCCGCGGGTGCGGGCGGGCCGGCAATGAGGTACCTATACCGTATATAGTACAACTCGGTATAGTAGTAGATACTAGTAAGTACTAGTAGTAGTACGATGGTACAGGTACCGGTAGGACTAGTAGGTAGTACTACTAGTAGTATCTACCGCCAAAAATACATGCGATAAAAAAAGAAATTTCATCAGAAGAGTCAAGATTAATAGTCAGTGCCCTGACCGCCGAGCGCTCGCTTAATCGTGAGAGGGCATTGAGAAGGCCCACCTAAGCGAGCCGACCATGACTCTGTACAGTCAGGTGAAGCAAGTGTCCCATCATACTGTACTACGTACTACGTAAATACTACGGTACTACACTGATGCAAATTTGGGCTGATTATTAAGAGAAAGCTTGACTTCGTTTGATCGACCGGAAATACGAACGATACTGCGCTTGGGCCAGCACCCTTCATGGGTCGGTCACCTACGGTACTACTACTACTAGTACTACTACTACAAAAAAGGGGAGACATGCCCAGCAATCCTCCCAGACGCTGCCGGTCCACGTGGTCCAGATCACGACTCGACCGTGTGAACCATCCCGTCAAATGCAATGCAAAACTAACATATCGTCGTGTTGGGGTATCTTCAACAAGCCTGCACCCGCCCTGCGCCTCCATGGTGCCATCCCGAATGCCACAAAGCCTGACACTGTCATTCCAATCCTGTTCCTGCTCCCTTAAAAAAATGTCAAGACCATCGAGATTTTCTATGCTTTTCCGTTCTCCGTGCCCGTGGCCATGCCGGCCTCGGTCTCGGTCTGGGTGACCTCGGCGTCGCTGGCCTCGACCTTCTCCCCTTCCCCACCTTCCCCCCATGCCGAGTTGCGCCGGCTCGGCTTTTCCGGGGCGAGTCCAGAAACCTCTTTCGGGCTGCTGGCAAGTGGGCTTGCCGAACCAGCGATACCACCAATGCTCCCGCTCACACTCCCGGTTCTACCATGGCCAAGGAACCCACTCTTGATGCTGCCGCCGTCCGTATTGTTGGCTTGCTTTCCCGCGTAATAGCTGTTCCGCTCGCTCGAGAGAGCCGGGGCTATACCCGTGGCCGAGTAAATGCTCGCCCGGTCGTTGAAGGCTCCGACGTTGGTTCGGGCTTGGTGAGATGACGCTGGGATTCCACTTGAGGCATCAATATTGGAACTCAGGACACTGAGAGGGAGACTCTCTCGGCTCCCGCCAAACATAGAGGACGGGGCGAGCGCACGAACTGACGCGTCCGTATCCATGGATCGACGTCTGTGTCTGTTCGAGGAGGATGCCAGCGTCAGTATCGAGGCGTTGTCGGTCAGGAGGTTGTTTGCGGTCGCCGTGTGGTACGTGGAAGGATGCCCGCCGCTGGTCGAGGGCGCGAGGTGGGCTGGAATGGCCGAAGGAGCAGGCGACGCGGGAAACTGGTGGGAGAAGTGTATGCTCTGGGTATTGTTGGCGTTCAGACTGTTGTGGTTGTTGCTGTTGTGATAGGGGTTATTGTGAGAAGCTGGGACGCCGTTCGGCGTGGCGGATTGGATGGTGGTGAGTGTCGTGGTTAATGATCGTAAGGAAGGTGCAGGCGAGGAGAAGGTGCTGTCTGGACTTCTTCCATAGCTCACTCCACACCCCAGTGTCGCATTTGTTCCCTGCCCGGACGACGCGGCGTGCGAAGGCGCGGCATCCGAGTGCGCGCCCTGCTCTGTCGACATGATGGTCGGCGCGACGGACTTGCTGTCAATTGTCGGCGGATTACGCCCTTCCAAGGAGGACCGGGGAGAGCGTCTGCGATCGACTGAGGAGGTACTGAGCGAATTTCCGGTCGGGCTCGTCGAGAGTGAGCAACTGCCATTGGGGCCACCGCCATTGCGGCCGACTGCGATGCCCGACTCGGGGTAAGGGTGATTCTTGGAAAAGGCCTTGGCCTGCTTCTGCTTCTGTTTCTTCGACGCCGACTTGATGTTGCGCTTCGTGCTCACGGGCTGGCTAGGGCTGGCGGGCACGACAGCCGCGGAGGACCCACTCTTGAAGCCGGTGAGCTTCTTCATCCATGTCGAGAAAGGACGACGGCGGCCAGGTCTGCCGCTGTCTGTGCCTGGTGATTGTGGTGGTGTGGGAGCAGTCGGAGCTGTCGAGGTGGCTGCAGCTGTCTCGGCCGTGGCCATTGTGTGTGAAGGCTTGGAGGAGGCAGAAGTTCGGGTAGTGGAGTTGAGTTGACGGTTCGAGGTCAGGCGAGGGGACTTGAGGTGAGGGTATTCGCATATGGCGAGAGAGGGCGATTAAGGATGGTTGGGATGGGATGGGTTGGGATGGGTTGTATTGGATTGGGGGTTGGTGAAAGAGGGATGGCAAAGAAATATCAGGAACACAGCCTTGTCCGAAGTTGCGTTGTAGCAACGCTTGCTTAGTCATGTTACGTCTACACCACGTGATCCCGGCAATGTGAGAGTCCAGTCAAACATCAACATCAACATCAACATCAAGGTCATGGTCAAGGTCAAGGTCAACATCAGCATCAGCATCAAACTTATTTTCATCTTGTGTACCCAGCATGAATAAGTATTCTATGCGTGATACTACTTACATATCTGAATTTGGAGCTTCACATACGATTAATTTCTGCCTTCCTTCCCTCCTTCCCTCCTTTCTATAGCTAAGCGATAAAATGAAAACATCCGACTGTAACATTCCCCTCGGGGCAATGACTCTTTGAATTCATCCGTACACTACATGACACTCACTACACGACACTACACGACACTACAATATACTCGCTTCCTCTTCCCAATGTCCATACAGCCCTTACCACCCGATGTGGTGGCGCAGATCAAGTCCTCCATCACGGTCACGAGTCTGAACGGGGTCGTCCGGGAGCTGGTCAAGAACTCTCTGGATGCCGGAGCCACGAAGATCGAGATATGCCTGGACTACGGCCGTGGGGGGTGTTCGGTCGAAGATGATGGCTTGGGCATCCTGCCATCCGAGTTTGGCGCGGACGGCCACCTGGGCAAACTACACTGTAACCATCTTTCAGTAAACTCATATATATATTCGTATATATATATATATATATATCTCACTCAAAGAGACAGACAGTACTTGCTTGCTGACTTTCCATCTCACAGACTCGTCCAAGTTAAACCATGCCCCGGACCAGGACCCGCGCCCACTCCATGGTGGCCGTGGCCAGTTCCTTGCGGCCGTCGCGGCCCTGGCGGTGGTGTCGATCACATCTCATCATCACCTGCATCGCTCGCACAATGCCCTGACGATGCACCGGTCCGCGGTAGTCGCGCGACAGGTACCGGCCCCAGCCCAGCAGCACCTCGCGCATCCGGATCATGGGACGCGCGTGGTGGTGCGCGATCTCTTTGGCAACATGCCGGTGCGGGTGAAGCAGCGAGCGGTGATGGTTGCGGCTAAGGAGTGGGCGGATCTCAAGCGCGATGTGGTCTCGCTCCTGTTGCCTTGGGAGAGGGCGGTTGCGGTGACTGTGACAGTGATATCTCCATCATCATCATCCAATCCGAAGATGGTCATCCGACCACCCTCCCCGCTCTTCACGTCGGACAGATTCTTCTCGGTGTCGTCGGTCAGCCGCATCTTGTCGCAGGCGGCCTTCATCTCCGTCCGGGAGGCGGATCCCACTCGCTGGGTCCCCGTGGGCGCATCAACCCCCACCCTGCGCATCGCGGGCCTCTTCTCGCTCGACCCCGGACCCACCAAGCAGGTCCAGTTCCTATCTCTCGGGATCCAGCCGTTGGTGGCGGGTCAGAACGTCTTCCACGACGAGATCAACCGGCTGTTCTCCCACTCGGCATTCGGAGTGGAAGGAGAGGTCAGAGAACCGGAACTGGACCAGCTCGCGATGGAGCGGCAAGGCTTCACGAACAAAGAGCTGAAAGGAGCGAAGAAAGGCGTGGACCGGTGGCCGATGTTCTGCCTTAATATCCAGCTGCATGACCACGAACAGGCATCGCCGCCCCCGATGCGCGGTGGTGATGTCCTGGACGACACGGGCCCGCGCGGGCGCATGATCATGGAACTCCTGCGGGCTACGGTCCGGGCGTTTCTCACCACACATCACTTCCGGCCCACAGCAACCGGAGCCGGAGCCGGGGCCCGAACCGGACTCTGTGCTCATCATCGATCAGAGAAGCAGGTGCAGGTGCAAGTGCCAGAGCATTCCCCCCGACGTGAAAGCAAGAGCAAGAGCAAGAGCAAGAGCAGGAGCAGGAGCAGGAGCAAGAGCCAGTTTTCGTTCCACTCCAATGCCCTCGGTACTAATGTCCGGATGCCCTCCTTTCGACACGGGACAACGGCGGCGGCATCGTCCGAGTCTCGGCTGGACCAGACACGCTGGTCCATCGTCAAGAGAGGCATGGCGTGGTCACGAGGGCCGAAACCTCCGGAGCCGGAGCCGGAGCCGGCACAGATGGGTGAAGACGTTCCGTTCGTCCGCCCGGCAACTGCTCTCCCACTCGCTGCCCCCGGTGCGACGACCCTCTTGTCCCAAGAGGGAAAGATCGTTCGAGCCCCGTTCGCGCTCAGTCATGTGCTCGCAGCCCGAACCCCCGAAGCTCATCACTCGCCGTCATCATCATCAGTTGTGCGGGCTTCTCCTCCTCTGTCACGCGATGTGTGCGCTGATGAGGATGCTGGTGATGAGATGGCCGTTTATATCAATCCCGTGACCAAAGTCACGTCCTTCGTCAACCAGCGCACCGGTCTGGTCGTGAAACCCAACAGCTCGAATTCTCGTGACAGATCTTTACCAAAGCGGCTTCTGTTACCGCCGAAACCCCCGACCTCCAGTTGCGCCGAGCCGAGTCTTTGGATTAGCGAAATCCTCAAGAACTGGGAAAATCCCATATTCCAGCCACCGGAACCCTCAATACCTCACGTGGCTTTCGAAGGTGCCAGCACCACTACGCAGAAAATCCTCCATGGCCGCCATCATCACTGTTCACAACTCGATATTGACAGAGCTTTCAGAGATTCCGCTTCCGGTATTGCGGGACGGATATCGAAAGAAGCCCTGAAGAATGCCGAGGTCGTCTCCCAGGTTGATGTGAAGTTCATTCTTGTCAAATTACGATCGTTCCCGTCGCGAGATGACAACATGCTGGTGTTGGTGGATCAGCACGCAGCAGATGAGCGGATCCGGGTTGAGACGCTGATGGAAGAACTCTGTACCCCAGAATCATCAGATTCGGGAGTGTCTGCGGGATCCAGTATCCTCTCTAGCTGCCTCGACAAACCCCTCCACTTCGAGATATCACCCAAGGAGATCCAGCTCCTCATCGCTCACCAGTCACATTTCGCCAACTGGGGAATCCTCTACAGCTTCTCCTCGCTAGAGCCTGAATCCCTTTGCCAACACTTGACAGTCCACTCCCTCCCTCCCGGTATTTCAGAGCGCTGCAAACTCGACCCTCGTCTCCTCATCGACCTCCTCCGCGCCGAAGTCCACAAGGTCCACGACGCGGGCAGATCCTCTGCCGCGTCCCTTGCCTCCGAGAACTGGCTGCAGAGGATCCATGACTGTCCCCAGGGGATACTGGATCTGCTGAACTCGCGAGCTTGCCGCAGCGCGATTATGTTCAACGATGAGTTGAGTCGAGCGCAGTGCGAGATCTTGGTGGCGAGGTTGGCCGAGTGTGCGTTCCCGTTTCAGTGTGCGCACGGGAGGCCGAGTTTGGTGCCCTTGGTTGATGTTGGCGGCTTGAGGATGGGAGGGGAGGTGGTGCATGCGGAAGGGGGAGATGGCGGTGGTGGTGGTGGTGGTGGTGGTGGGTTTGGGGCGCGGTTCCGAAGATGGAAGGAGGGAGGGGTGTGTGTGTATAACTGAATGGGGGTTGGCTTTCTGGGCTTGCTAATCTTTATAAGTTCCAAACTCGAGATCCGAGACTGGGAAATATCATCGTTGTGGAATTTGATGATATTAGATAGTAAGGGATTATCAAAGCAGCCCAATATAATGCGAAGGCTTTCTTGACGTGATTAGGATCTTTACTGCTCTTCAGGCTCTCATACTTGAGTTTAGTCTTTACATGTGTAGGCATTTATACCGGTACATATATCCATTTTTCTTCTCACCATCTTGTCAATCATTTTTGGGCATCATCCTCCTCTCTCTCTCCTTTTTTTCTTTTCTTCTGTGAGGGTATCAATGCCATATTCCCTTCTTTTTCCTTTCTTCTCTTTCCCTTCTAAATGTTCGGAAGCTAGGATATTGGGAAGAATGAAGAATATTACAACGGTCTGCCACTTTGTGATTTTAACCTTTACGGTGGGAGTGGGTGTGGGTGTAAGTGTGTTTGTATGTGTGGTGATAAGGCTGGGGGCAGGGGGGCATTAGGACGAATGGATTGGAATGGAATAGGAGAATGGAGATTGAGGATTAAGATCTGATGTGATGTGATGTAATTGATTAGGGTGCATTTTGTCAAAATTGAATTGGAAAAATCTTTGGGGTTTGCATTTCTGTACTTTTTTATACTGCTGCTGACTGCCATGCTAACAGCAGTGATAACATTCACGGGAGGATTATATAAGCCTGCTTCAATCGTGATGGATAGATTCGGATTCGAAGAGCCGAGGTTCGAGATCATGGTCCAGAGAAGAAAGAAAGTGTTGTTTAGTTTTCGCAAAGAAAAAGATTCAAGTTGTAAATGACATGAAAATATAAGCGACTATAGAGCACAGCAGCAGTTGGAGTCCTAGAGAGAGCGGGTTTTTTTTTTTTTTAAAAAAAAGTCGTTGCTTCGTCAAATACGTGCGTACAGATGTTTATCTATATACGGAGGTAGGTATCATCCATCTATGCGCCATTTCGCCATCTGCAGCAGCAGCAAAGGAAGCATTACCGTGGCATGCAGCGAGACCCGTACCGTTTTACCTATCTCTATCCTCTTATCCTTCTATCTTTCTTTTTATCTTTCCACGTAAGTGTTCAACAAACTCCCCCAAGAAAAGATTTTTCCTCCCCTCCCTAAGACCCTACGATACACAAGCCGCGCCGACAATAGCGTCCAAGGAACTGCTCTGCGTCATGATCGTCGCCCTCCCGTAAGGGCCAGCCCACACCAAACCGAGTTGGTTGTCGACCTGGTTGTAGGCCCAGATGGAATCGGCATTCCTCTTCAGAAAGTCCGTGTAGATGGTGCGCGTGGCCTCGGGCAGGCCCATGGCGCGGTTGACCATGAACTGGATGGCGCGGGCAAAGACGCCCTTGAACTGCTCCGTGTCGGAGTTGCAGCCGCCGTCGCACGGGTCGGTGAGGATGCCGTCGGCGTTGGTCAGGTTGCGCATGGCCGCCAGGGCGATCGTGTTGGCGAGCTCGGTGTACGAGGCGTTGCCCGTCGCCCAGGTGAGCTCGGCCAGGCCGGGGAGGAGGATGCCCTGGTTGTAAGAGAAGACGCGGTTGCCGTCGTTCTCGCACGTTTGGAGATTCAGGCCGTTGTTGATAACGTTGTCGGAGTTGATGAGGCCCGAGGCCATAAACCACTCGTAGGCGCGCATGGCCTCGTTAAAGTAGTAGCCGCTAGAGGGCGTGTTGGGGCGACGGTTGGCGAGCTTAGCGGCGGCAGTCAAGTAGAGCTCGTTCTCGACTGCGCCAACGCCTGTTCGGGCTTTGTTCCACCTGGAAAATGTTGGGATTTTGGTTTTTTCGGTGTAGATATAGATGGGATGGATTACTTACCAGAGACCTCCGCATGGCGTGCTACCCCAAACGCTTTTCGGGTCCTCGAATATCGCTGCAGCAGTATCGAGGTATTTTTCGTCCTTCGTGACGTCGTAGACTTCGATCCAAGCGAGAGCCCACCACAGCTCGTCGTCATAGAACTCGTTGATGAAGCCGGGGAACCTGTTAGGTGCCATCGCAAAAGTTGTTGGATATACGAGGTCAGTCGTCGGCTTGACCATGTCGGGGAAGTACTCTTCGAAGTTTGCAAGCACGGTGAGCACGTTGGCGCTATGCCACCATGCGTTGTCCCATAGCCCATTGGCTGCATCGTACCATGTTTGCATCTGATTGATACCCGCGACGGCGTAGGCGATATATTCGGTTTTGGTAGCTCGAGAAGTAAGGCGTCGATCCCCTACCTGAAAAAAATGCGGTTCTGGAGAGGATTGCGGAGCAGGATGAGCATCTGAAATAGTGAAGACTGCGCACAGCAGAGCAAGAAGCGAAGGTGGTAGCATTTCGTAGAGCGTTGATCCAAACAAAAAAAAAACAGAAGAGAATGAATGAATGTGTGTGAAAAGGGAGGGAATCTCAGATCTCGTCCGCCTCAGCAGCGGCGACTAGGGACTTTATACAAATGCATTTCTGGAGGCTCACTCTAGCTTCCCCAAAAATATGGCATTATTGATGGGAAATCATCACATTGGCGCAGCCGCTGCTTAAGTGCTACTTGGCCCGCTGCTAAGATGCTACTTAGCGCGGCTATAGGTCTAAGATGGCCAAGCTCTCTTAGTGTATTCCGTTTCGAATTGTCCTAAAGACATCTGTTCTCCGGTAAGCAATAGCCAATCCAACGACACGCGCGTCTATCCTGGGATCTGAACAGGGTTCACCGCATAGGGCTCGTCTGAGCGAGCATGTATAGGCGGAGAGGCTTTTTGAGCTCGGGGTCTTGCCGCTTGGCTGTCAGCCGTCTTTGCATCACCATGGACGCATCCTTAATCTCAATGGATTGTCTCGAGGAAGAGACGGTAGACTGATCGTCATAGCATTCTCCTTGCTAGGCATCATTGTCGAAAGCGGATGGCAGATCCAGGTCGATATCAATACTGTTGATCATCTCAATCCCATCGATCACGCTTTGATCTACCGCTGTCAGAATGTCCATATCTGAGCTTCTGGACTTCAAATGAACCAAAATGGTATTGATGATTGGACATGCGGACCTATTCGGATGCGAATTTGTGACTGGATTGTAACTGGAGCGCACCTATAGAGGTCTGTCGTTTCGCACAGCGCGAGTATGAAACATGGCACGAAAGGAGAGGACGGGATCCCCTGATTCGCAGTCGCTGTCTGGTAGCCTTAGACTCGAATCTTCATGCAGTGAGGAAGCCCCGTGACTTGAATATTGTATTGATTCTAAAAGTCTGGATATCTAGAGATGGGAGAAAACTCGCTTCGTTGTTATGGTGTTGTTAAATATAAACATAGTAGAAGTCAGATTAGGGTTGTTGATCGGCCCCCTTGTCGGCGCGGAAAATCACGATTCCCGACGGAAGATCACCCCTTTTTGCTTGGCTGTCTATAACAAAGCTAGATCCGAGCCCATGGTCGCACCCTCCTCCTTGACCTTCGATATTTGAAACCTTTGATATAGAGATAGAGCCACCGTTCATCCTTTCCTCTGTCTCATCTCGTAATGCCGATAACCAAAGATCCTCCGACGGGGACGGGCCTCACCTTTGGAGTCATTGGTTGCGGTGTGTATCGGATCCATCCAAAAAAATCTTATTGAATCATCTGACAGCTACCAGGAAATATGGCCAGTGCGATTCTTTCCGGGGTCCTTGATTCCTGTGCGCAAGCCCAAAAAGCCGGTCAAGTACCCAAGATATCTCGCTTCATTGCTACCGTCAACAGCCAAGCATCAGCCGAGATGCTTGAGAAACGATTCTCTGAGTACTCCGACCGGTTTGAGGTAATCCAAGGCGACAACGTCAAGGCCATGGAGAGAGCGGACATGGTGCTGTTTGGGTTCAAACCATACATGATCGATCTCGTTCTCAAAGTCGATGGCGTTAGAGAAGCGCTGGCCGACAAGTTAATCATCAGTGTTCTTGCCGGATCCCCAGTTGAGAAACTCAGAGCTGCCATATATCACTCTGGTCCCAAGACAGCCGATGAGAAACCCTTCTATATCAAGCGAGCCATGATGAATATCGCAGCCGAGTACCGCCAATCGATGACCGTGCTTGAGACATCATCAATGCCCCTAGAATACGAGCGCATCACCGAATGGATGTTCAGCCAGCTCGGAAAGACTGCGCCGATTTCGCCAGACCTCTACGATATTGCGGGGGTGATGGCTGGTGCATCCGGTGCCTTGCTGTCTGTAGCATTTGATGGGATGCTCGACGGAGCTGTGAGCCAGGGGATGAAGCGGGTGGATGCGAATAAGATCTTGGTGCAGTCCTTGATATCTTTGGCGACGCTGCTACAGAACGAACACCCGGCCGTACTACGAGAGAAGTTCTCCAGTCCGAAAGGGACGACGATTGCGGGGTTATTGAGCCTGGAGGAGAATAGAGCAAGATATGCGTATAGCCAGGCGACTATTGCGAGTTCGGAAAGGAGCAAGGAAATTGGCAACGGAAAATAGACAAAAAGGGTGGGTGTATATCGCATGCTATAGACTTTCTGATACCCGTTCAAGCCCGTCTTGATGCCACATGGCCGATGCTCAGACCTTGAGGTTGTTTGGGGTATGGTGGCTGCCTGGATTTCTGAATATTGCAGTCCTGATTATTATATGCCTATACTCCGTTAAAAATACAAGCCTCGCCTGTACGGTGCACCAAGAGCCCCAGGAAGATATATCCTCAACTTTCTCCTCACTTCCGGAGCTTCTTCCCTCCCGCAGCATGATGTCCGGGAACTACCTGCCATCGGTCTTTGATAAGAATTCTCGCTTATACTGTCATTGGTGGCTCGCTTAGCCGAACGACCTGACTGTGTGTGATATTCCGCTCTTGGCTGAAATTTTCCGGGCCCTGGTCAATTGTATAGAGTGGACTTTAGAGGCTGAGTCGTATGCCGAATGCCCTCATTGATCAATCATGATACAGGACGATCTATATTCGTGAGAGGGGATCAATAATACTTTCCGTCGCAGAAAAGTAATCAATTTGTCTCCCAGGACATAATCATCTTATTGTATCACAAAGAGTAATTAGACTGTGTAGAGACTTTACACAGGTCTTAAGCTGTAGCGATCTGTACTACGTATCGTTAACTAAATCAAAATGTCCGCCGTCCGGAGCAATTCTGAGCAGACGATATCAATCCATACTTCCTAGCATAAAAAGCCACCCCAACTCAAACCTGCAAACCGATATCTATAACCATCTCACGAACAACCCTCACTCTAAATAAGAAGTACTCTCCTCACCAGTATCTTCGCGGGCTTTCTCTCCGTGACCACGGCTGCTCCCGTTCCGCTATTCCAATCACCGTAATCCCGTCTTGCCATGTGTAGAAAGAGTTGGCATTTCCAATGCCAAAGTGGGTTTTCGCGCTGATTTTGGGTATGGCTGTATGGCGAAGGTGCACTATGACAGCAACTGTAAAGCCAGATGGACCGACGGGTACAAACATTCCTGGTCGAGTGGTCTCCCGTGGAAGGTTCTGTGTCATGAGGAGATAGATGAACGCCTCGTTTATCATCGACAACCTGACGAGAAAGTCAGTATCCTGCACGCAGATAGTGCCGAGCGCAATTGCAATCGAGTCCACACGATCAGCTGTGGCGGCATCAGGGAGTGCATCTGGTAGATTCGCAGCGAAGGGCGCAAGTACGAGAATATGATAATAATGGGAAATAGACATAGGTGTCAAAGGTGTTGATTGACAAGAACAGAGAGAAACGTACTGTGTTGACCATATGAGCACGTATGTTCCCGAACTTGCGAGGAACGCGATGCAGACATGAATCCAGAACCATTCCTGCACTGATGGCTGTAGCCAAAGTCCCGTTTGCGGAATCCCATTTGGCATATGTTGATAAAGATATTACCAAATATGCCCGATTTCAGCATCACATGAGACCACCTACCGGCTGGTTAGCGATATTTTCGCAAGGCTGTTACGCAAGGCCTACCGAGGTGGGAATGATTATTGAATTTAAATGGCTTTTGACAATGTCCCTAAAAGAACCAATATTGACTTGAACTGTCAGGGTGATCGAGAGGCAGTTCACGAGAAAGAAGACGTGTTGAATGGGAAGAATTATAACTCCAATGGGCTGTAGCCACTCCGATTTAAAGGGGGCTGAAGAAATGTCAGAGCAGCATATTTCTTTGACTGTGTAACTCTGACATCTTTGTACTTCCATGCAGCACATTTGCAATGCCTTGAGGAGCCATTCTCATTATGGGGCGGGTCCAAGAACAGCAGCCAATTCTCTCCCACAGCCCAACCTGCCATATCTTTTGTGCTTTGGGACCGTTCTCTGCGTCTGCCCGATTGCTAACAGCCAGAGTGAGCCCGGCTTCGGTATTGATCCCGTCCAGAAGTGTCATCACTGTCTCCAGATGATCTGTTTATCCTCTGTTTTCCCTCTCCGATATTGTGTATGTTGAGGCCACCAATAAATCTCCGCCAGTTTTTGGGGTCTGTAAGAGATTCGTATCGGTTTTGGAAGGCTTCTCGCATCAGCCGTCCTGGTAGAGATCCCTGAACTGACATTTCGAAAAGATGCCTACTTCTGGGGCCGTGACGAAGATCTTGGAGATGGCGTACAGGCCTAGGAGCATCAATGGCTCCAATGTGGTGAGGGCGTAGGAGAAATTCACCAAAGTCGTAATGAAGATCAACAGGTTGAGGACAAGGGAGCCGACATTGCTCAACGCCATTGCGGATGAGAATAAAGGGGGCGACAGTGAGACTGAGCAGGGCAGATGTATGTTCAGTTGCTGGTTGGCTTTGCATTACACAATTAAGCGTGTGGGAGTTTCTCGAGGCACCATTGTCTATCCTCGGTTCGTTGCAGAGGAGAAGTATGGTGATATATAAGTAAGGGAGAGAGACTCTACTATATAGTAGAGTACCGTAATTAAATCAACGCGGTCACAGCGGGCAGAATTGGTCGAGGGGCGCTACCGGTAGTACAAGCATTCTTGGGTTTTTGTTACTTCTCGACTGAAGGCTCTCCAACTTCCTCGAACACCCCTACCACCACCGCGGCCTCGGCGACGGTGACGGCGACAACCAGAGTCTATCAGGACTCCATCTACTGCTATACCCAAATAACTACCTACCACTTACCATCTGCCAGACAGTCTCCTCGCCCAAGGTCCACCGAAGGTCCATCCTCAAAGCACCCCCAGATGGCGTTACACAAGAGCCAAGATTGCAAAAGTGAGTGATGCGAGGATACGAAGCTGCCATGGGCTATGGTTTCGAAATCATTGGAACTAGACCGCTTCAGCTTGATCAACACGACCGAAAGTTGGAAGCTTGAAGTTGTCTCTGCCGCAGACTTCCAGATCCCCGGGCACCTGGCCAACTTGGACCTCAACGTCGTTCTTGAAGCCTTGAGCTCAAGAAAAGTTTGGGCTTCCCGTGCAATGGGATGCAAAATAGACATGGAGATCCTGCTTGACGGTAAGCAATTGCTGCGGAACGTCTCTGACCAGTGGCTACAGAGTCTGGGCGTGCGGATTCGAGATGCAAAGGTACTCTCCAACTAGGTCTCACCAGATATCGACTAATCTGGTAAGGCATGGCAAAAGCTCTTCATATCAACATCTCTTGAAATCCCTGAAGCGGGCCCTCATGGGCAACAATCCCATGCATGGGTTCATCTGAAGAATAGTGCACAACAAGCAAACCGTGCGGAAGGGGAAGGGCTGGCAGCATGGCTGGGAAGCAGCACCGATTTGAAAGTGCCAGCTGGCGTCGTATCCTTCAAATTCGAGAGTCTACGAATGCAATTCGACTTCATGCGGGTACAAGTGAAGCCAAAATCCAAGCGAACAAGGACGCTGGAGGGAAACACAACATCATTTGATGTTATGTTGCTCGACGTCCCTGCGGAAACTCAGGCCCCGCATGACACTCATTCCAAAAATCTTGAGAAAGCTTCGAAGGCTTTGAAGCACATACCGGACAAGATTGCTGGATTTTTTCGTACCCCCCATCCCTCCGGCCTCGGCAATCAATCGCCGTTATTCACACTTCATTTGCAAGCCCAGAATGCCGATGCAATCACTGGTGCGAGTCGGAAGACATTTGCTTTGGGGGAAAATATACAGAAGGGCAGGAAGGGCAGGCACCCTGAAAAGGTCGTGGAAGTTGTCAGGGAGTGGCTGATATCGCATCCCAGCAATCAATACCCAACTGCGGAAGAAAAGCAACAACTCATGGATCTGACGGGGCTGCAAAGAGGTGAGGGCTGTGAAATTTTCCCTGATGCCCTCGCTAAACAGATTAAGTCCAGTTGAGTACTCTTCTTCGCTATCAACGGCAGAAACTGCGCAAATGGGCACCCATCATAGACGAGACTCACAGTAAAGATGAAATGCTGCTGGATTACGAAGACTCTCCGGCCATCTATCACGCGGAGGAACATGGCAATGATAAGATGCTCTTCTCGCAGACCTCTACCTCGTCATCAATTTCGCCAGGCTCCTCAAGTTCTCGCGCTTCTTTGAGCCCTTTCTCCAAGCACCGCTTCACGCCTGATCCAAGCGACATGTCCATCCCAGCGTCAATACTATCCAATCTAGTGGATGCCGCCACTGGTGTTCTTTTCGGCGGCAACGTAGGCCCTTGTCTTCTTAAAGCACGGGATACTGAATTGAGCAAACCATCCCCAAGATCTTCGCTGTCTCAATTGGTCCCGGTCATGTTCTCTCCTGGGTACAACGAGGTCAGCTTCCCAGTCATTACCCTCCATTTTCGAAATCCTAACAGCCTTCAAGTCAGTGGCACATAATGCTAGATATCTCCCAACGATATCTCGCGCCTTGTCAACTTCTCTCCCCCACAACATCCAAACACCCAGCCTGAGGCGGAAGCTACTTCAACTTTCGAGTTGCGACCCATCATATTTTTATGGTCGTTCCAACGACTGCGGGGAGCCTGGTACACTAGAGAGATTGTCGTTCGTGACACAAACAAGGCTATGGGCTATGATACAGAGAAAAATCTACGATACGACAGCAGCAACAAAATTATGGCGACAGACTCTGTCAGATGAAAGTTTACACAAGGACAGTGACTTTGAAGACTTGTTTGGCAGTATCGGGGGTCAAGATCGGGTCATGAGCGACCTCGGAGACTCTTTCACTGATGACGGAATGCTTTTTACCGATGATGAAGACGATGAATCACTGCTACTGGATAAAGAAGTCGGGGAAGACTCGGACTGGGAAAGGCGAGCTATCGAGCTCGAGACTGATGAAATGTTACTCAGTGCCGACCAGGAAGAAGCCGATGAAGATGGCAATGGGATGTATCTGATAAATGAAATCGATTCATGGGTAAGGAAGAACAAAGAAGACGATACAGATATGCTGTTGGGAGATGGGGGGGACGGAGATGATATGTTACTCTGAAGGTTTCTGGATAATGCGAGTCCTTCACAACAAAATACCATACTGTTCTTTTGGCATCGCGTCTCGTGGTAACGCACCCTGTTACTCTTCTTGGTCCTCTCTGGTCTTCATCGAGTCAGCTTACATGATACAGAGGCCCTTTCTGCTCCCTATGACAACTTTTCGGGCCAAAGATTTCGAGAAATACCTCGTACGGACAACGCCGAGATACTCTTTTCGACTTTCGATATGCTGAGCGGCTGAAATGCAGCAATGGTGCTTTTTGTCAGCACTCGCAGCTGTTTTCGGGCTTGGCGAGTCCTATCGGGGGGTGAGCTCTGGGCGCCACATTCGTGAACATCAAAAGTATCTCTCATGCCTCTCAATTTCGGCAGAGTTTTCGCAATTCTTTGGGACTTCGGTTTCCAGTTTGCACCTCGCTGATCTAGCGCCTCAGATATATTTCTGAATGCGTTGACATTTGTCCTCTCGACTTATCTACCGGTAGCTAGGACTGGAAACATCTGACAGCCTTGCCAGGGTTACAGCCGACGCAGGTATGTCGCTGACCGCAGGTACGACGACAGCTGGCTCCCCTTTTTCTCAGGACATTTCCTTCAAACAAAAGCATAGCCTTTCTGTTGTTCTAAGGCTCGGACTAACCGACTGTACTTTGCGGTGCATCCGATGTCATTGCCTTCGTTCTGCACGCAGCCAAGATTCATGTACAGGTTGCAAACTCCGCCGTTTCATCTCCTGGTCATGGCCCTCATCGCTCAATTCGTATGTGTAGTAGATGACAAGTACACAGCTATCATGGCTTGGGCACGGTGAGATGGATAGAGCTGAAGTGCAGTGCCCGGAGGAGAGATATGCACAATCGGTACGATGCAGAACACCTCGACCAAAGTCCATTGTGATGAGGGACATATAATGAGGGTAATAGCCACCCAAACTGAATCTATCCATATACAACTTGAAATTGAATCTCTAGTCCTTCAACGGATATCATAGCAATTAACACCCACCAATCTTCCGAATACAATACTCGACAATACCACCATCCAAGATGTCAGACTCAACCCCCGAGGCCTTTAGATCCTGTGGCCAGATCGGCGCAGCTCCAGGCGAAGACCGTTTAGCGGTCGAGAGGCAGGCTTTCTGGGACAATGGGACAGAAATTGTTGTCAACATGTGGGGGCAAGTCTCTTCTCTCCTCTATTCTGCTTCTAGTCCAACGGAGGGAACTGATTTGCAAACAGTGGAAGTGACTACGTGCGCAGTAAAGTCATAGAATATGCTAACACGTGGTCTTTGTACGCCAACTTGACCTTCAGATTCATGGAAAGGGATGAAGAGGGGGAGAGCGATATTCGCGTGTCTTTCACCCCGGGCGGTTCATGGTCGCATGTATCCCAAATGCCCGTCAACAGAAAGCTTAATCTAACATCTCTCAGCAACATCGGCGCCGGCTGCAAAACCGTTGCTCAAGACCAGCCTACTATGAACTACGGCTGGTTCGACGACACTACTTCCGACGAGGAGTTTTCCCGGGTCGTGATCCACGAGTTCGGCCACGCCATCGGCTGTACTCACGAGCAAAGCTCTCCGGTGGCCAACATACCGTGGAAAAGGGAGGTAGTCTATGAAGCTTACGAGAAGAATGATGGGTGGACGAGGGAGATGGTGGACAGCCAGGTGTTTGCGGTTGCGGAGCAGGAGACTGTTGTCAATAGTAGGTATGATCCAACGAGCATTATGTGAGTCTATCTTCTTTCCACCCCTCCCCCTGTTCTTCTTCTTCTTCTTTTTTCCACTCAGCCGCACATTAAGGAGTTGAAATTGACGGATGACGCTGGTGCTGGTAAAAGGCAATATCCCTACGATGCAGCATGGACCCTCGACGGCTCCTCCGCCGGCTGGAACAGAGTTCTCTCCTCACTCGACAAAACATTCATCATGCGCACTTACCCCAAAGAAGGTATCGTGCGCACCTCCCAAGATGGCATCTACCTCGTCAACTGCTTCAGGGGCGAGGAACAATCCAGTGGTGTCGCGTACTATGGGCGCTTCGGAAACAACGACGGCCAAGAACCTGACGAGTGGCTGGAGATTACGAATGGGGAATTGAATTGGTGGGAAGATGGCGGAGAAGGTATGTTGCTCCACCGTATTCTCGATCATGCCGAATTCTCTCTTATTTGTCTCTGGCTAGATATCTCCTTTGGGCTGGGGACGGGAAGTTTGATGATGATGCTGACAGCAGTCGAATTCTAGTGACACTTTCCAACGGCAAGACGATCGCCTGGAATCTCGATGGCGAGGCGGGCAGGGCAGAACTCTTTACGAGAGTAGGGTTCGCGGAGACGAGCGGGGAGGAGCAAGGGGAGAAGTGGAATGTTTATCGGGATGAGGAGAGGGTGTTATTTAAGCGAGATGGCTGGCAGTGTTTTGTTCTTTTCTGGGCTTTCTAAAGGGCAGGTGCGCGATGTGATGTGGAAAGTGCACAAAGTATGAGAGCGGCAGATGTTTATGATGAAGGGCCATGCATCATCTCATCATTAATATACTATTACATTATAGTCTTTTCAATAAATTCCTCCTTTTCTGCGATTCATTCGGCTAAATGATGAAATCGGTGCCGAGTGGAAGATTAAGCTTCGACTTATATAACGAGTTGGAAAACAAACCCGGTCTCCTTTTTATACGATACTATACTCCCCAAGCCAAGATCTCTACTCTCGTGCAAAGCCACAAAACACAAGTAACAGACTCTCCAAGGAACCGAGAACGAACTATCTAATATATATATTGGATCGAAACCAGAGGAGATCTTCACAGAGTCAGTCGACACTGCGGCCACAGCTGTAAAGTAAACATCTTTAAAGGTTCAATCGGCTGAGATCATAACCTCCACCACTCGTATAAAAACCTTCTAAATTTTCTCCATAACCGTCGTCGTATTGCGGCTGTAACGTCCTCGTTCAATAACGCCCAACCATCTTCTCAGGGTATCTGTCTCGCTTAATCCATTTCTCGCTCCAGTGTGGAAGCCGTACTTATCGGCAAATTTGGAACTTTGGACGCTCTCACAGCCCCAAAAGTAAAGTCCACTTGAGTGCTTGTAACAAGATGAGTGTTGCCAATCATATTATATATATATATATATATATATATATATATATGTATATATGTATATATGTATATATGTATATATGTATATATGTATATATGTATATATGTATGCTCAAAAGCTCATTCCTTTAGGATTTAGAAGATGTTTTGATTTAAGGATCAATGGCTAAGATATACGAGGAACAGGCGCTGCTGCTTGTGAACCTTCAGCGTTAACTTTGACTGAATGCTCTTTAATGAGAGGAAGGGACAAGGAAAGTGTTGTATGGCAGAATAACATAATATTTATTCACAATATGGCCTTGCCTGTATTGTTAAATGCGAGCCTCAACGCGATTGGAATTAACTGTACATCAGAAAAGAGAAAAAGAATCGAAGGTACCTCTCCTATGATAGCGGTTAATATCAAGGCTGTAAAATCTGAATGTATATACCGAGATCATCCTGGTGTCCTATCAAATCCCTCTCCAACGCCACGCTATGCCACGCTCAAACCACAAATTTGCATCCCACTATTCTCTCACCAGCCGAATCCGTTCACCACCCGTCACCCCACCCATCTTCATCTCCGGTCTCTTTTGGCGCCGTATTTATCTTCTTCGCCGCAACTGGCTTCGGCTTCGAAGCAACGTGCGCCTTCTTCGCTGTCGCTGACCCCATACTGCCTGTCGTAGCAGCTCTCCCGACAGCAGCTAGCCTCACATTCGTAGGCGCCGGCTTCGCTAGACCCTTCGGTAATGGCTTCGCGCCAGGCTTCTTCCCGGACTGCGCAGCGAGCCAACCCGCGAAGTCTGGTTCTCCGTCATCGTCAAACGGTTTAGCTGATACTTTAGATTTAGGCGCTTCGGTAGGGGCGTCGAAAAAATTGTCTTCTTCCATGTTACCCCATGCGTCGTCGGCCTCGTTATCATCCCCTGCGGCCGCAGAGTCATTGAAATAGTCGATAGCGTTAGAGGAGGTGGAGTTGCGTGCTGAGGTTGCGGGGGGCGAGGCGAGGGCTTGCCGATGGAGAGCTGATGCGGATGCCATACCAGTTGGGCGACGAGGTTCGGATCCTTGTGCTGACGAGGGTCGAGAGAGGTTGTTGCCGTTCGAGGGCGATGAGATCTCGCCTGCGGCGGCGGAGACTTTGTTTGTGAAAGACGAGATAGCCCAGCCTGCCCAAGAAGCCGCGTCGCTGGCACTGGGCGTGCTCATACGGGGTATAGTAGCTGCTGATACTTCGGTCGTTGGGGGTGGTAATACAGAATCAGGCATCGTGGATGCGAATCTCCGTATACGTTGCATGTAGGCCTCTATTGTCTTGTTCGCTTGATCCCGAACAAGCTTCTCCTTGTCTATCAAGCAAGGGCATAGCACAGGCAATATGCGACTGGCACAGTCTTCTTCACTGAAGGAATCTGATGTAGCCGCCAATGCCATCAAGGAAGCATTTCGAGCATGGACAAAAGGATCACGAAGAGAGCGGGTAAAGGCTGCGATGAGAACTTTGGCCCTATTACTGACTCCGAGATTCTTCGCGATCTTACCCAAGCAGATAGTAGTATTGGTACGGATACCAGGCTGCTCATCGTTCGACGTCTTAGCAAGGTATTTCAACAGCTCGCCATTGATCGTTCTGTCGGAGAGTTTTGAAATGATGGTTAGCACCGCCTTAACAGTCTGCTCTCTAACCACTGGGGCCACGTCCGTGAATCCAGTTACCTGTAGAGTGTCAGTCAAGGTCAGCCAGAGCACAGGGATCCATACCATCTGAGGAAAGATCTTGTCGTTGACCACTTTCTGTGGTAATCTATTGATCATCACCGGCAAATTGTCCAATAGCGAAACCCGTATTGCTCGGTCAGGACTACTGAACAATCTCACGACTGCGGGTGTAACCTTTAGATCGAATTCTTCGTCGGTGAGTTTCTTGCTGATCTTCATTACGACGTTGAACACCTTGGGTCCACCACCGCCAAACTCCACAGACTTGAGCAGTTCAGGGAGGATTTTCATCTTGAAATAGTCCTCCGGGAAATCATCCGAAAGCTCGTCGAGGTCGCTGTTCTTGTTAGTGGATTCATTGTTTTTGGCAGCTATCACTTACTTGAGAAACTCCTCTCGTTCCTCCTCGCTCTTCATTCCCAAATTATCCACACCTTCAGTAAGTTTGATCAAAGGGGTATTGAAAAAGCCCCCACTTCGGCGACCCTGCTCGAGAAAGTTGCCCACGCTGACTCTGGCCTTAGGATTACTGTTCACCAACCGCCTGTAGCTCGAGTGCATGCTTGGAGGAACATTCTTGGTCTGACCGGCCTGATCTCCTCCCATGAAGTCTCCATTGAAAACTTCGAAAATCAAAGTCCCAAAATTGTAGGCGTCGACTGCAGTCAAAGGATTCTTCTTGATCGTATCCCAGCCCAATTTCGCCAGCTCGGGAGCTGTGTACCTTCCAGAATCGGGCACAAGGCTGCCATAGTTCTGAGAAGCATCAGTTGCCTGTATTCTCAACGCAATGGCTTCTCACATACGTATATTATAGCTTCGTCGTCTTTCATGCTGCTCAGCACTTCAAAGCCTCCTACTCTCCATTCCCCGCTCTCACTTGTGTATATCGAGCCGACTCGCAGTGCGCCATGCACTGAGGATGCTTCGTCGTTGATGAATTTGATCGTTTGCTATGAGCAAATGGTTAGTCGGTTCTCCGAGTCCACGCCGGGGGGAGCTGGACTTACAGCAACACCAAAAAGACCCCATTTTAGAGTCTCCGTACTCATGCTCTTTCGCTTAATGTGCCACCGCAGAGGAACCAACCTCTCGGTAGCAATATATATGTACGTCTCCGTCTAGTCCATTTTGTCAGAGAGCTCCTGGACAGCTAACGCCAAGGTCATACCTCGACGGTGTCCAACACTTTTATGACTCCGGGATGTCTTAGTGTTCGCAGCTTCTTGAGTGCGTTTCTTGCCATGGGCAGACGGGGTTTGTTCGCAGTGACATCGAACGAGAATATGCTACAGTTCGAGCCATCTTCCTGCAGTGCAGTCTTAGCCAAGTGCTCTGCTCTAGATCTGGAGGTGGGTGGGCATTGCGCACGCGCTTGGTTCCATTGTACAGCGTCCAGATACTGGTATCGACGTCCACCTGGTCGCCGAAGGTGTAGGGAAACGGTGGTCCTTTGGATATTGCGGAGGCGACAGCAGATTTGAAGAACTCCATGGCAGCGGGTCAAGAGTATGTGAGATGTTGCTGTTGCTGTCGCGAGTGAGAAGAGGAGAGGTCCTTTCCAATGCTAGTCTTCCCTATTCTCGCCTTGTGCAAGCTGGACTGGATGGACTGATGCTTATCTGCTTCCACTCTGACCACGACGTCTAGTCTGTTCAGTAGTACTCCCTGATGCGGCCGCACCACGTGACTATTGGTAGTGGGGTTGGAAAGATCGCGTTGTTGGAGTTGATTCCCTCTCGTCTTGCGCCGTCCACAGCCCAACCTCAGAATCAACCTCACTACTCAACTTCATCTTAACCTGACAACTTCTCTATAGGACCAAGCATTGCAAATACCTCCCTAATATTCACTGTCTCTCATAGAATTCAAAATCGACATCGACACCAACGTCCCGGCTTGATATCCTCTTGGCCAGCTCACCAATATGGCCTCGTCTCAGCCTCCCGGACTCGCCTCCAGCCGACCCCGAAGCATTTCACCTCGAATTTCAAAGGTAGGTGGTGGCCATTCTTTTCATGCACAACCTCCTGCGTTTATGATGAACATCTGGTAAAAGGTCCGACTGCAAAAAGCTTGTTCTGGTTCTGCGCCGAGTCTTGGCTGTGTTATTCAATTTGCTTATGACGCTCGTTGCTTGCTTTCCTGTGTTTACATGGCTGTCCAGAAATGTTTGGCAAGACTCCTCTTACCTAAGCCATCGTAAGAGGAGCGACTTTATGGGATATATCTTGTCTTCGGACACCACTGCTATAGGAGTTGCGCCTCGTCATTCTCCAGGATGTACAACCAAAGGCCGCGGTGGACAATGGACCAGACGAAAGAAATGTCCAAAGTGACCTCGAGGTCTGCGTGCCGCCAGTCGAGGCGTTGATTACGAGGCCAGAATTAGATGCGAAGCCGCTAAGCTGCAGGTTGATGACTATCACAAACTGAAAAGACCTGAGACGCAAATCCATTAGCAAACGCCAGCCTTGCTTGATTGTGGATGACCATTGCTAACGCTATTTCAGAAGGTGAATCGAGGGCTAGACAGCGTCGACGATGCCAGCTCAACTACGTCGAACAAGTCAAAACCTGATCCGAAGAAGTGTTGGGTATGCAAAAAACCGGCGGACCTGTCCATGCGTCTAGTGCAATGTACTAAATGTCGCGTTGCCTTTCATGAAGGCTGTCCTACTCCGCGGATATTTGGCGATGGGTAAGTAGCCGCGGCCATTTACATGGACAGCAGGCTTATGATCACTGAGTAGAAATAATTTCACATGTAACAGATGTGTAAAAAAAGCACAGCAGATATTATCTGGAACCGCACCTTCTATTGCTCCACGCAGCCATGCAGAGCCGTCAAAATCAACGCAGAAATCAACGCACAAGCCAATGGCGTGTGAAGTGTCTGGCTGTCCCAGATCGGTTCCGTTTACTTTTACAGATACAACGGTCACGCGTCAGTTATGTTTTACTCACAGACTCGGCCAGAAACCTGCCGCTGCTCTTCAAAAGCCCGCCTCAAAACCCGCAACGACGTCCAGACCTTTCAATAAGACCAAGTTATATCCTGTTCGCCCAGATGATAGACAATTCGTGAAGAAGAGGAAGCGTTCTTCGTCGGAGAGACTGGCAACTGCGATTTCAGACGGCTCGCCGCCACATCCAGTATCCAAAAAAGCTATATCAGCCGTAGCTCCAAGTCGTAAGTCTGTACAGCGAGGTCCCAACCAAACGACCGAGGTACCACAGAATATGCAGAACACCGCTTCGAGGGATGCGCTCGCTGCACCGATCCAGGATTTCCAGAACTTGCTCAACGCCAGAGCCTTGCAACCACCAATAGCAGCTGCTACTCTAGTAGCAGATCCCGCTTTACAACGGTAACAATCACAAATCACGTGTATTAGACCACTGTCTAATGCATTTCTTTTAGTATGAATCTCAAGCACAATGCAAAGCCAATTAGCACAGTTGCTAGGCCACCCGGTGTACAAAATGGCGATCCTCAGAAGAATTTAGCACCTAAACTTTCAGAGCCCGATGTCAGCGCTTCGAATAATCTTGCCGGTGAAGTGCTCGGCCAAAAGAATCTTCATCACGCTCAAGACAAGGTCCGACCTCGCAAAGTTGCCGCGTCTCGGCCTCAGAGCTCGGGGGAGGACAGCCCCTCGTCACAAGTGGATCTGAATATAAGAGCTACTGGTGGGAATGCTAGTGCTTTTTCGCTACCCTTATCTTCTTCCCATGATGAAAGATTCCCGCCAGACGTTATTCCAGGAAGACACCTGAAGCCGCGCCCTATTCTACCGGCAAACGAAGACGCAGCTGCTACGACGACTCTTTTAAGAAAGCAATTTCTATATCCAAAAACTCCGTCTCCAATGATTATGACATCTCCGGTCAACACACAAGAAGAGGAGAGTGCCTCTAAACCCAGTTCCCCATCTGTATTTCCGCTTGATAGAACATTCTCGCGACGGATCACACCGAGTACTCATCCTACACGAAGAAGCCCTGAATCGTCCCCGATTATCCCTGGAATCAATACTCCGTGGTCTCCTGTCCGCGACCTCGGAAGTAACTATGAAAATATGGTACTGAACCCAGAGAGGAGCCCCCCGTTGCGAGAGGTCATCCCGGGAATCAACACACCATTGTCTCCTATCAACGATTTCGAAAACGAAGAAGAGGTTATCGATCAGCATGAAAAATCGCCTGGCATGGAAAGCCTTTCCCTAATGACAGACTCTTACGATGAGAGTATCCTCGACTCCTTCCTGAAGAGGCAATCCGAGCGTGATCCGTTCTACCACCCCACAGCACGGGAATTACTCGATACACAACGATGGAGTACCATCGATCCAAGGACTGCCTGGCCTAAAAAGCTAGGCACCCTACAAAAGGAGCAGAAGGTGCTCGAGATCAAAGCACGGGGGAGCCGGAAAACCAATTTTGGCAAACACCTGAGACCACATATCGTGCAGGAGAGAAAGTTGGCGGGTTGGGATGTACACCAGTCTTGCGAAAGAAAGACTGATCAAAAGAGCATGGAGATGATCTCAAGGTTGGAAGAGCTTTTTGGTCCTGGCATAGGCAACTGTGTACCGACGATTATCGATAAACGGTTCGTTATGCAAGAGAGGGGACGGGAGCCTGAACCAAAGAAGCCAGGTCGGCAGAAGGCCACGATCCCGTTACGAGTCTTTCCTATGAGACAGTGAGAGAATTGAAGGCTTTGGATGGCTTTGTATAGTTACAGGTATATGATGGCCAGCATGAGGTCTGTCCTCAACCCCCGACCAATCTCCCCCATGTCCCTATTCCATATTCCCACGAGTTCCTAGTCTCGTTCTCGTATCTTGAACTCTTATAACGGAGAGAGACAGAGAGTAGGTATTAGACGCCCGCCTTGTTCCACAAGGGAATATGAAAACAAGTACATTCCTTACATGTATCGCCTCTCGCTCCTGATTTGAGCATGCACAACGCACGCAAGTGACCTGTATATTTATACAAGGATATCTTTTATATTTGTGCCAGATTCCGATTCTTATACCACATAAGACTGGAACCATTCTTATCGCCATCTCCGTGTCGTTGTTAGTCGATTCATCCAATGAGTCGCGGTTAATATGAGCAGTAAAAAAACTAACGAGCTCAAGAAGTTACCACGAACATAATAATTGCGAAGAATACGAATTGAACATCGCTTATAAGTGATATATGATAAAATCTACCCATATAAAGTACCTTTTTCGTAATAAATTTCATTAACAATTTCGCTTAACAATTAGCAACTCACTACGTACCGAGTCTGCTCTTCGAAATCCGTAAGCAACGTATCTACGGAG